AAACTAGGAGTTTTATATTTTGAGATACAACGATGTGTAATTCGTTAAAAATTAACCGACGTTTCGGAGGAACATGTCGCCTCTGTCTTCAAAGTCGAAAAATAAGCCAAGCTAGAAACGAGATGAAGCAGGTGGCAAGTAGAGCTGCTAGGCTTATTCTTCGACCCTGAAGACGGGGGCGATATGCTCCTCCGAAACGTCTCTCGACTTTCAAAGGACTACACGGTGTTCATAACCAACGCTGTGAGAACCTCAAATCCTAAGAAGCAAAGTAATCCTCTAAGAACCACAACATAATACAGTATGGCTGTAAGGAGGCGTGGAGGTAACGTACCAAGGTGGATTCTGCCATTTTCTAAATAATAACTGGCAGATCGATACCCACTTCTAAGTACTACGTCATGAAGTCTTACTGGGACAAGGGCGTACAGCCACAAGCACTGTTTGTCTCTTAGTCTATTTAGAGACGTTTTTCAAACAGCTGCATCGCTCAGAATCGGAAGAGAGCTGTAAATAATGAACAGGTAAGGATATGGAAGCAAGCGGCCTTCGCCTTGCTTAAGGTTTTACCTTGAAGTAATACGGAAATCATTAAAAACATCAATCACGACAACCAAGAATCAAACCGTAACCTCCGAATTACAAAGTACGAACCCTATGCATAACATATTATAGCGTGCAAACCCGTTACTACGCAACGACCACGAGATACGCGGATATACCACGTCAGTTTCTGGGCAACGGCTCGGTACACAATATCCGGCTGCTAGGGAGCTGATTCTTAATAATTAAACAGTTGGATTACAACAACGGAAGAGCTGTGTTTTCTTTATGGTCCGTGCCGAGTTGTTAGCAAGGGGCAAGGTCAGTTTTCACTTGATATACGTAATTCTGTACGCGAGTTTGTGAACAGAGGACTTCAGCCGGAGATAGATGAATAGCCATTGTTAGATCCGTTACCAGGAAACGTCTAGTAACAGACTGACATTAGACTGTGTACTCTACTGAAATGTAAAGTGTCGAAATAGCGACAATGTTATAGTTATTTGTAGTTACGAACTGTAAGTGGTCAATAAATCGATTCACCAATCCAAACCCAATTTACAGCCACACACATATACGTGACAATATGGAAGTTTCTGCTTTCCTAAGACGGCAATGTATGGAGTGAGAGGTGAGGAACACACTACGACCGCCTTCATCTCCGGTAGAAACACCTTTAGCACTTACTGTATTGGAAATCGGGTATGTCACAGAACCGTTATTAATTTATGGTTTCCTCGCGGGCAAAGCGGCACGAGCCGTGATGCTGAACACTCATCTGCGTCTGGGGCAAAGGCTAAGAATACTGGAGCTATACTTTCACTCCCTCATATGTCTTTATGGCATAGCATTAGGAAATTGTTGCCTTTTATTGTTTATTTAACGACGCTGTCGGTAGTTCAGGTTACATAATGCCGACAGCGAAATGATCGGCCTATAATGAATTGGAAGGAATGTGAAAGGAAGCGGTCGTGGTCTAATTTAAGACAATATCCCGGCATCTGATTGGATATATTAAGGATGACCACGAAAAAAACAAATGGTCAGAATAGTGGTTCTCCGGTCCGAGATTACCACCCAGGACCTTCCAAATACGAAGAAGTGCCATCCATTCAACAATGAAATTCATTTTTGAAAGTGCTGTTAACGTAAAAAAAAAACAGACCAAAATTGTTACAAGTCGGACTGCCCTTTACTAAGCTAACAAAGCCCCGATAAAACGGGTATAATAATAAATTCATTACACGTAACCTTGTTATTTTTATGCCTTATTAGGGTGTCATGAATTGAAAGTCCAATCAAAATTTCATAACATCCAATACCGAAAAATGAAATTCAAAATACATGTTTCGAGCTTTTTTAAATACGCATTTTATTTTCATAAAAATGATGACAACTGAGACTGAAACGCCACTGTCGGCTGATGACAACTAAGACTGAAACGCTACTGTCGGCAGATTCGACTACCAACAGAATTAATACTACCTGCAACCAGAGAACGCAGTGCAGTAACCATGCAATATGTTACCACAACCTCACGCAGCGTCAATCCCATTTTATTTATACATACATTACTTTAATATCATCTGCCAAACGTAGGCACCAATTGCAATGTGAGTGGCAGGCACAACCATGAGTCTCTCAAGTGTTTCCGTAATTTGAATCTAAGCCCACATCACGTGGTTTAAACTGTTCTCACAAACGAGGTCCTGGCGACAGACTCATGACGCCACAATAATTATATCTGCAGTGAAAGAAATATCACTACATTATTACACAATGAAATGGTGATGGCAGTATAACCATTATATCTGGTGTGGAGAAAATTCCGTTAAGGATAATTAAGACATAAATAATACTGATTTTCGGCCAGAAAACTGAAGGGAAGAGACCACTTTGGGGAAATAAACGTAAATTGAAGGATAATACTAAAACAGATTTGAGATAAACTGGATTCGTAGGATGTAAACTTGATTAATATGGCTCAGGAAAAAGAGAAGTATCAGGCTCCTGTCAACACGGCAATGAACCTTTACGTTCCATAAAAGATGGAGAATTTCTTGACTGCCTGAGGCACTATCAGTTTCTAAATGATACTGCTCCATGGAGTTATTAGGGTCAGGAACCTTCTTCACTTAACACCTCTAAAGTTAAAACGTCTGCAAATTGCAACGTTCAACGCATAAAATACGTAGTGTTTTCCTCTCAAGACTGGTTACAAAGCACTTACGCCTAATTTCATCACCTGTTTCTCAGTGTCAGTAAACAGTGATCAGGCGAAAATAACGACTCTCGAAAGAGGTACGTGACAATGACTTGGAAAACTTACCCGATATGTATTTCCTGATTCTTAAGCTTCCTGTTTGCTAGTAGGGTCACTGAACGATTAGAATTCTTTTGAAGTGAAACTTTCTTTTCTACATGAAATGGTCATAATCAATTCAAACACAAGAACTGAGAAGCGTACCACAGTTGAATACAAACATTTTTAAATGCATCATTTAAGATTTAAACTAAAACACTTCGTAAAATTGGGAAGTTCAGGGTATTTCAGAATGACAGGAACGTAGCATAACCACATGTACAAATTCAAAGCATGATGTATCTAAGGTTCTCACAACGCTGACTGTGGGATGTAACGTCGTGTAGTCTGGTAAAAGTTCTACACTTCGGAGAAACGTACTGCCTCCATCTTCAACGTAAGATAAGCAAGCAACAGCAAGCAGCAACGCAGTTATGCTTGCTTGGTTTACTCTTCGACTCTGAAGATGAAGGCGATATGTTCCTCCGAAACGTCGGTATCTCTCGAATTGCATGGCGTTACATCACAGAAGGCTGTATTATACAATAAGTTCCTCTTCAGGAGATAACCTCAGAAAAAATTACTACTTTTGCTGTTATATGTATGGGTTCGAGACCACGTTAAAATCATCACCAGTCCTTCATTCAGACCACTAAGACAATGAGTGCGTAACCATCCTATTTTTTTCCATGGCACTACAGCCCCAGTGGGCCTAGGCCTACCTCCATGAACTCCGTTCACTTCGGTTTTTCTAGATCTTACACATTCGGTAGGACTCCTTGGGCTAGTGATCAGCTCGTCGCAAGGCCTCTACCTGTAGACAAACACAGAAAAACGCACACAAACATCCATGCCCTGAGTGGGATTCGAACCCACGATCCCGGCTTCCGAGCGAGCGAAGACAGTGCATGCCTTAGACCGCTCGGCTACCGTGACCGGCGTAACCATCCTATACTGTATAGTAACCCTGGTAACTTAAGGTGTTTACACTATATTATGGCGTTACTTTCAGTTTTGTTTTAAGACAAATCTGCTGTGTCCAAGTAGTTACAAACAGTGCACGACGATTTCATGTATGTTAAATTCCCAAAACATACCAAGACGTAGGCGGGTGGACAATATTAAAATGGATCTTAGAGATGTATGATGGGATGGTATGGATTGGACTGATCTGGCTAAGGATAGGGACTAGTGGAGGGCTCTTGTGAACACGGTAATGGACCTTCGGGTTCCATAAAATGCTGGGAAATTCTTGAGTAGCTGCAGATTTGGCTTCTCCTCAAGAATGGCTCAACTCCATAAGTATTTTTTATTGCTGGTGGGGTGGGACTAAGTCCCTTGTACTGCGGCCACTTCTGGCCTATTGTACCAGCCCCAGATGATAGGTGAGGGTGATTGTGAAGCAACTGATGGAATGAAGATTGGCAGGGGAAACCGAAGTACTCGGAGAAAACCTCCCCCAGCGCCACTTTTTCTACCACAAATCATGCTTGACCAGACCCGGGATCGAACCCAGCTCCATAAGCAAGTAAGTAAGTAAATTCCCAAGACAGGCCCCTTTTAGTGTGGAGATATGGGCTTATTTATACATCCTGCACCATCGGTCTCATAACAATCATCTGAAGGTCACAAAAATGACGAGTGTGAGTCCGTGTACCTAGGGGTACTAAGTGTAAGTAAATACAGTAGGTTCGGTGGGACATGAGCTATGGCCCTTGAGATGCGCAGTAGCTTTGCCGCTGCACCGGCCACTGGAAGCATCCTTGTTTAGCGGTACAGAGGAAGGTCTTCCCCTACGCACGCCACCACCACTACCATACACCGCTGTTACCCTCCCTCTCGCGAATCTAGAGATCAGGTCCAACCGAACAACTTATACCATGAACATACAAATGGTTTCTGAAACTGAAGTGCAGATTTTTCTGCGTGCACAAACTCGTACAGTTAAAATATCGCCGTAAAACAATTCTGCAATTTAACAGGAAATCGAGAATTGAGTTAGGCTTTCGTCATGTATCCAGTTTCATTTATCAGATGAACAAGGATAATTTCAGTGGCCACAACAACTTTCCAAATCAGTTCAACCTCGCTACAAATGTGAGATATCATCTACAGTTGGTTCACTGTCGTCAAATAACCTACAATGTGCACCTACTTGTTGGAGTCCCTGGAGCTAGCACGTTGCTCCGCTGTCTCGATGAGGTCGGGCTTGGCCCGCAAGGAGGAGGTGAGGTCGAGTGGGCGCCGCCCCATACCGCCACCACCCCCACCGCCTCCACCGAGGTTCGCGTTGTCGTGAAATAATGAATTGCTGTTGTCTAGGGCCCCCGATGTGGGGTCAATGCTGTGTTGTAGACAACTTTCACCGCTCCTGCACAAAAGAACGCAATGCTCGTCTTAGTGTCTAATACCAAAATACAATTCATCATTCAGGCCCTAGATATTCGGTATAATATCTTATTCCGACCTTCAGTTAATAGCTGCTTCAATATTTAGCTTTTAACCACGATCGACTGCATAAACGGCAAACAAATTAAATGAAGTGCCAGCATTGGTTATATCAATCTTCCTTAACCAACACATTCACAATTTCGCCTTACCACATGAAATGGGTGAGAGGTAGAAAGAAGATATTAGGAATGGTTCGTTCCCGAACAGTTCACTTCCAAACAACATTAATATTTTAAGGAATTTTATCAACACGTTGTCAGGCAACAGCTCTGCGAACACGGTCCATTACGCAACAATAGGATGAATGTTTACAGCTCGTTTCTAGCCGACAGTCAGCGCGCCAATGGAATGGCGAGATAGATATCACGTGATTTGTTCTCTGTGTGGTCTATGCTATGCAAAAATATAACTGTGTTTTCTGTGCGTTGTCTGAGTAGAATCCTTACAAGAGAACTGAATTTGGATGCAAAGTCAGCTCAGGGCAGTTACAAGTGAATAGTAGCGGCAGAAGCACGCGAAGAAGCAAGCAAGGAGATGGCCACGGGAAGTTTGTGGTTGAAGAAGAACTAGAAGTCGGCCTTTATTTATGTGTAATATCTGGAGTGTGTGATTCAGTGAGACTGTTATAAACACTTGAACACTAGTGCGGATAGAATGAGAAAATTAGTGATTGTACATTCTATAAACCAGGAATAGTGTAAATATCCAATAAATCCAATTACCAATCAAAACCCGCGTCTTAGTCACCGTGGGACGTCAAAATATAAACAGAAATTTATAAAAAAAATTATTGCACATGGGAATACACACGACATTCAGAGGTTTTCACTAATTAAATTACAGCATGGGTTGATCTCCTGAAGATCAAGTATAATAGTGGGCTTTTGTGTTAGCACTATTGAATATTCTGACTGCAATGCCACAGATAATGTGGTGGTTAGTTTGTTGGTTAGTTAGTAAAGAAGTCGCATTAAATTTGCACCAGCCACGTAAGTTCTGTGAATGGGAAGTCCGGAGAACTAAGGTGATTTAAATGTCAGACCAAAATAAGTTGTAAATTTCCCTATATCTGGCACCCACGCCTTGCAGGCTTATAATGTCACCTGTAAACTTTAATGGAACTGCTTACTCACTCACATGAACGGAGGAGGTACAAAGTACGTTCTAATATCACAGGATCAAAGTAACTTAATGGCTTAGAAGCCAATTCACAGGACATCAAATTCATATACCGTATAATGTCTCTCTTTTCGTTGTAACAGGCAATATAAATATGGATGTATTTATTGCTTGTGAGCACAAGATTGTGAGTGTTTTCATAAAAAGCAACATACCGCATTTCACGATTACCAATAAATCCCTGAGACATTTTGGCTATTAGGTTGCGGTCTCTCCAGCAAGGTTAGCCCTACCAGCTACCGTCAGCTATCGGCTTGGTTAGAACACACAATCCCCTGCCAAGGAAATATAATATTCCTGTTAAAAATTATTAGATCAAAGAAAGCAGGCCAGATTGCAATGGTTACAGGATCCAAGCGAGTTAAATGGGGATAATCTGAACAATATAAGACGTGAAACCAGCAGGCATTTCAGGAACAAAAAGAGGGAATATCTGAAAGACAAAATTAATGAGTTTGCAATGAACAGTAAGCAGAAGAACATTAGAGACCTGTATAGAGGAATAAATGACTTTAAGAGGGGTTATCAGGCTAGCAGTAACTTAGTGAAGGATGAGAATGGTGATCTGCTTGCAGTTCCCACAACATTCTTAATGGGCGGAAGAACTACTTCTCTCAGTTATTGAATGTACATAGGGTCAGTGCTGTTAGGCAGACAGAAATCCATACAGCTGAGCCGTTAGTACTTGATCTTAGCCCTTTTGAGGTTGAAAGTGCTATTGCAAAATTCAAACGGTATAAATCGCCAGGTAGTGATCAAATTCCGGCAGAACTTATTCAAGCAGGAGGTGAAATATTACATTATAAGGTCCACAATCTAATTACTTCTATTTGGCATAAGGAAAAATTGCCTGATCAGTGGAAGGAGTCTATTATTGTACCAGTTCACAAGAATGGTGATAAAACTGACTAGTAATTATCGAGGGATATCACTGTTATCAACTTCATACAAAATTTTATCCAATATTCTTCTCTCATGATTAAGTCCATATATAGATGAAATTATTGGGGATCATCAGTGTGGGTTTCGACGTAACAGATCAACTACAGATCAGATCTTTTGCATTCGTCAGATACTAAAGAAAAAATTGGAGTACAATGAGACAGTACATCAACTATTCATAGACTTCAAGAAAGTCTATGATTTAGTTAGGAGGGAAGTATTGTACAATATTCTAATGGAGTTTGGGATACCCATGAAACTAGCTAGATTGATTAAAATGTGTTTAAACGAAACGTATAGTAAAGTCCATGTAGGTAAACATTTGCTGATAAATTTCCTATCCAGAATGGTCTAAAACAAGGAGATGCTTTATCGCCACTCCTTTTCAACTTTGATTAGAATAGGCCATTAGGAAGGTCGGGACACATCAGCTGTTGGTCTACGCCGATGATGTGAATCTACTGGGTGATAATGTAGATACCATAAAGAAAAACACACAAACTTTAATTGACGCAAGTAAAGAGGTTGGGCTAGAAGTAAACACTGAGAAAACTAAGTATATGTTGCTGTTTTGTCACCAAAATGCAGGGCAAAATCATAACATAAAGATAGGAAACAGATGTTTTGAAAATGTGGCCCATTTCAGATATTTGGGAACAAAGATAACAGATCGAAACCTGATTCAGGAGGAAATTAAGAGGAGATTGAACTCGGGTAATGCTTGCTACCATTCAGTCCAGAATCTTTTTTCTCCTCTGCTGTCCAAAAACATAAAAATTAGAATATGCAAAATTAAAATTTTGCCTGTGTGGTTCTGTATGGGTGTGAAACTTGGTCTCTGACAGTAAGGGAGGAACACAGACTGAGGGTGTGGAGGAGAATATTTGGACCGAAGAGAGATGAAGTGACAGGAGGTTGGAGACAACTGCATAATGAGGAGCTTCATAACTTGTACTCTTCTCCAAGTATAATTAGAATGATCAAGTCAAGGAGGATGAGGTGGGCAGGTCATGTAGCACGAATGGGGGAGACGAGGAATGCGTATAGGATATTGGTTGGAAACCCAGAAGGAAAGATACCACTGGGAAGATCAAGACGTAGGTTTGTGGACAATATTAAAATGGATCTTAGAGAGACAGGATGGGATGGTATTGATTGCATTTATCTGGCTCAGGATAGGGACCAGTGGAGGGCTCTTGTGAACACGGTAATGAACCTTACGATTCCATAAAATTCTGTGGAAATTCTTGAGTAGCTGCAGAACTGGCGGTTCCTCCAGAAGGGCTCAGCTCCATGAGTAAGTAAGTAAGTACAACATAATTTCTTAAACATGCGAGTCGCGACCTACTCTAGGGGGAGGAGGCTCTTCAGGCACTCGGGTGTTTCTTTTCCAAATATGATTTTATCCAAGCAGTTTTGACAAATTAGAAAGTCAGTAGTATTTTACACGTTTCAGTTGCAGCCACCTATCTGGCAGCCCCCCCCTCCCTAAAATATCTGCATGGGAACATTTTATACCTTACTGCAGGCGTATAGAGGCTGTAAAGCTACACGGGTTCCTGCTGTCACCGTACAGCCTGATAGGGATTTGCAACACAATGTAAAACAGCACTGTTCGCCGGCCGTAAATTGGGGTTCATCTAAATTTATGCAGGTCTACCATGAGCCGGGATAGCGTAGTCGGTATAGCAACTGGTTACGGGCTGGAAGACAGAGTTTGGGTCCCGATGGGGTCAAGAATTTTTCCTTCCCGTCGTCCAGACCGACCCTGAGGCCCACTCAGCCTCCTATCCAAAGGGTACCGGGGGGTAAAGCGGTCGGAGCGTGAAGCTGACCACTCACCTCCAGCTAGTGCCGAGATCAAGAAAATGAGAATCTATACATCCACTCCCCCTTACACTTTCATGGCGTAGTGCTTAATTAGCTAAGCATAGACAGAACTTTACTTTTTACTATTTAAGAGGTCGCAGTATTACGGTTTTTTAATGTCTTGCTATGCACCCCAAAACACTCCCAACCAAAACTCTACCAAAATGACAGTATCATGAATGGCATATGACAGCACGATCAGAGTGATAAGGAAGAAAAATATAAAAGAGAGTCAAAAGAAATGAAACGACTAAGAACGGTACAGGGTTGTATAACAAAACATAAATTGAACTAAGGCATAAAGGTGAAGGTAAATTTTAAGTTGTCCGTGCTTAATTAGATAAGCATCGCGTCATGAAGACGTATGGGGGGGTGGAGGTATAGCTTCGTCATTCTTGGCACTAGATGGAGATGAGTGGTCACCTTCAAGGCACTGCCGCTTTACCACTGGCGCAAGAGCAGATGGTACCAATTGTCTAGGGGGCTGAGTGGGCCCCAGAGCCGGTCTGGATGCTGAGGAGTAAAGAAAAATCCCTTGCCCCTGCTGGGAATTAACTTTGTCAGTTCAGCCTATAGCCCTTCCCTAGATGCATACAGTGAAGACATAAATGCAAAGTCAAACATAAATTCATAATACTATCACATGTATGAGTGCCTATGGACGGGGGTTGTGATGGGTAATCGGATTTAATGACCACTTAAGTGGCCTCCGTAGTCTAGGGGTAACGTTCCCACCTCATGAAACAAGGTACGCGGGTTCAAACCCGGCGGAGGTCGTGGAATTTTTAAGGGCGGAAAAATTCAGGGAACAAGTCCTCCGGGAGGGACTTTAAGCCGTGTGTCCCGTGTCGTAGATTTACGGTACGTAAAAGAACCTCATGTCTCTAGGAGACCAAGTAGTTTCCAATGCCTCTGGTAGATGGGGGAATA